ATGAAAAAGATGTTTCTGCTGAAGTTGGAAAGACTCCGGTACATGTTTCTTCTGGGTCCAAGAAGAGGTCTGGGTCCAAGAAAACGTCGAAACAAGATCTCTATGAGTCTCTGACCAGTGGTTGGATGCCCCCTGCTCTTCAGTCTGGGCAGTCGGAACCTGGAGTGGAGCTCGATTGGCTCTTTGCCTCCAGAAAGCCTGGGAGCCTAAGTATCAGTGAAGGGTCGAAGATCGTCTCTTCATGTAGTGCTGCAAGCTCATGTACTGCAGTGTGGCCTAGAGCTCAGTTCTTGCCGGAAGTGGAAGTTTATTCATTGCCCTATACGGTTCCATTTTGATCAAGGACCAATTAGGCAAAGAGTGTAATGCGCCCGTTGTGTTTTTGAGAGGTACACCCTGGGCTGCTTGTCAGGAAAGAAAGAAAGAAAAAACTTAGTTCTAACGATAGGTTTTTTAGGATTTTTAGATTGATTGACCCTTCTGTACAGAAATTTGTTTGGTATGATCTAGTGCATTCTTTTACACTGAATTTGTGACTTTTGGGTGTTCCTATCCTTCGTCAATCTGCATTGTATTTTTATAACATAAATTGTGATTGGACTTTGGAGATAATCGACATGTTGTAAATGAGTTGATAAAGTCAGTTTTCCCCCCGATAATTAGCTTATCATACTCATTAAGAGCCATCCTGAACCAACAAGTAACAGGATCATCGAAAGCTTCAACCTTCCAACTGTTCTCAAACTATTCAAATACCCTTAAAAGTTCAAACTTGTTACAATGGCAGCAGCATACAATGAATTTTATCCGCAGCAGCTACCTGCACAACAACAAATCAACTTCAGCAGCTAATACCCGAGTTCCCAAAGATTCTTAAGACACTGCTCCCTCCATATGCTGTCAAGTAACCAAGCCCATAACAGAGCACATATTCTTCCTTTTACACCACCCTGCAGGTGCAAAACAATAGCATCTTGAAGGCTCTCCTGAGTCCAAATTTAGCACACACCCCTACAGGCTACAGCCAAAGCCCTTGAGTAATCACAAGGAAAAAACAAATGGTCTCTTGACTCTAAATTCATATCACAGAGAACACATTTTCCCATTTTTCGTCACTCCCCATTTAACCAGCTTATCTCTTGTGGTGATTCTGTTAAGTGAGTTTAGCCAGGATACAACTCAATGCGATGAAGTTACATGCGAGTGATGAAACCTCTTGATTATGAAATAATCCCAATTAACATTTAAATAAATTCCAATTAGATCAATGATTAACCCAAAACATCATCTCGAGACATATTTAATCCAAAACTTCTGGAAACAACGAAACTCACGAAACAAGCATAATCGAGTAAATTAGATGGAATGTAGAGTCTTGACTAGGGATGGCAAACGAATCCTCACTGTGTGTACGGTGTACCCAATCAAATCTGAATCAATTTTGTTGGAAAATCCCAACCGATATTATTTTTTATGGACTTTTCCCAACCGAAAAAGTAAGTAATGGATTTGGTGCGGCTTCCGTATTTTAACTTTTAAGTACTCGAACCACAAACCCACCCGAATATGTGTTATAACTATTTTGTAGGCTCATTCTCTTTAATACTTCGCTCATCTATATCCTTAAAACATTATAATTATTTTTTAGACCTTAAATCTTGTTCATTTTCTATTAGTTTTACAAACAAATGGACAAAAAAACTTCATTTTGCATTGACATTCGAAGAAGTATTTTAGATTATATAAAAAAACTTTATACATGATTGTTCAGGGATGATAATTTTCTCCAAACCGCATACTGAGGGCTCGTTTGGAGAATCAGAGTCGAAATCTCTAGATTGTAAACAATCCGAAAAATAATTCTCTGGATTGTTGAAAAAAGATTTGAAAAATTTCATTGTTTGTGAATGCGACTATTAACATGCAATACAAATGACAATTCAATTTTTTTAATAGCAAATGACATGTTTAGTCTTAACCAAGAGAATCAAAGTGACTAAGAAAATCTTGAGAATTTATTAGTACAAGTATTTGGTGGGATAAAAAAAAGAGATAAAATAGGAGGAACAAAATTCTCACAAATAAAGATACAGAATCTCTACAATTATGAGAGATTTAATATCTTTAAATTTTAGAGATTTTAAATCCCCGAAGCTAAAATCCACAGTAAAAAAAAGACATAACTTTCTGTTAAATCTATAGATTCGATGAATCAATAGTTCACACTTTTTCTCCAAACGAGCCCTGGTTGGTTTTGGTATGACATTATATTTTTGCACACTTTTGATCAAGGGCGGAGGCAGCTTGTTAGGAGGGCGTGTCTTGGCACACTCTTGCCTTGGGAGAACAAGATTAAAAGAGTACATTAGATTGTTTATAATGAATCATGTACATGGAACAACATTATTATCGTCACAATATCACTAGGTGAACTTATTGTGGTAGTATTTAACTATGTTTCCCTTTTCAATTCCAATCAAAACTTTTCCACTCAAACATGGTCGCTAAGTTGGTCGACTCTACCTTTCCATTCAACCGACTTTCATCGGCTATCCATGAGCACTAGAGAGTCTTTATCGTAACCCGCCATGGATTGGAATGATTAACAAAATTATGAAGCACTAATCGATTGGATATATTGACAATAAGGTCTTTGATAGTTTAGATGAAGAATATATAATTTACATGTTTTGTTAGAGTAGAAAAATGCTGCGCGTCAATGCAAAAATTAATAGTTCTCATATTAAATATATTTACTTAAAAAATTGACACCCCCTATAGAAAATCCTGGCTATGCCACTTCTTTTGATATACATACATACATATATGTTTTTGGAGTGAAAATTTCGCACACTTTTAATTAAGCTGATAGTTACGATTTTAAAAATACAGTTCAAAAATAATATATATAATAACCGACCCCACCCGAACCCGCTATCAATCTTATGCCTGATTTCTTCACAACTCGACAAATTTAATTTTGATTCAGCTCTCGATACTGATTAGCTTTAGACCCGACCCATTGATAATCATTAATTTAGATATCGATTCGTGAAGTAGAAGCACGAGCGAGAGTGAGAGAAAATATATTTCCACATAATATAATATTGAAACCGTTAATGGATCCTTAATATTTTATTATTTTAATTAAAAATTGTTAAATACACTATTACTTGTTGGATAAGATAATACAACACCTGTTATAAATACTTTCAAGGGCATTTCCGGTACTTTCCCTTACTCCCCACTCGCCACTCCCAGGCTTCCTCTTTTAAATACTTCATCCCTGAGACGAGGCGCCAAAGAAACACTTTCCACAGTCGCTTGCTTATTTCCCAAGTTGAGAGATTGTGAGTGATCGATCGATTCTAGGGTTTCTTGATCTCGGCGTTTGCTAGTCGATCGATTCTTGGAACTGCGTTACAGAAAGACAGGCGAAGAACAAGAACTTCAGTAATTCTTCCGGTGGAATTGTGCGTAAAAAGACAAGATGGCTCGCTGTTTTGGTTACCAGCCTCCCGAAAGCTACCTCAAGGTTTGTTTCCATCGCTAAGCTTCGATTCTGGGCTACGTTGTTGTCGTTCTTTCGTTTGTGCATGTTCTCTTTACGCTTTAAAGTCTCGTTTGATTACTGGGAAAACAAGGTTTTTCTTGAAAAGGTGGGAAACTGCTTTCGTCGAATGGATTTTCGATTTTGGCAACTTCTCTGGGTCGAAAACGTTGTTTTGAACGGTTCTGGAAAGGTTCAGGAGTGGAAGTTGCGGAAATTCCTTAGAGCTCTGTTAGATCTGCGTGAAGTGACTAGTTGATTAATGGGTTCTTGATAACAAAAATTAAGGTGGTCTTGCTGGCGGTTAATCTTGAGATTTGGGGAGAGGGTTTGGTTTAGGGTTTAGTCGTGTTGAAGATATTCCTGAAATCTCTGGTTTGATTAATCGATTTGCTTCCATTGCTGGTTTCTGGTTCTCTAACCTTCGATTGCTCTTTGGGTTTGCCACAGCTTGTGGAAGAGATGAGGAGCCATGGGAAAAAGGACATAGAAAAATGGATGAAAAGGAAGAGCAGAAGAGAAGCTAAGGAAGCAGAAAAGATCACATCCAAAAGAATGAAGCATTCTCATCACGAGAGTAAAGAAGAAGGTGAAATCAGTGATGTTACAGAAGAAGAAGAAGAAGAAGAAGCAGCAGAAAAGCTCAAATCCAATAGAACGAAGCATTCGCATCATGAGAGTAAAGAAGAAAAAGAAGAAGGTGAAATTAGTGTTGTTACAGAGGAAGAAAAAGAAGAAGGTGAAATCAGTGATGTTACAGAAGAACACGGCCCCCCTGAAAGCCCCTGCAGTTCCTCGGATTCTGTCAATCCTCGTACGTGTTTCTCATTCATAATGTCTCTGGAATACATGTCTTGCCCTTTGTTTGTTTTCTTTAGTAGAATCTGACTCACTCTCTATTGGTTCATCTTCAACAGGGAAGAGCTTCACTCGAATCGAATCATCGAAAAAGAAGAAGAAGAAGGAGACGTCGAGGCACGAGCTATACGAGGCTCTAACGACTGGCTGGACGCCGCCACCACTGAAGATGTCAGGGCCAGAAGACCTCGGGTGGCTGTCTGGTTCTAGGAAGACTGATGGAGTCGGATGCCAGACAAGGAGAAGTGAAGTTCAACGCAACAACGTTCTGGTTTATGCATTGCCCTATACGGTTCCCATTTGATGATACCATGGATGGAGATGGGTAAATATGATTCATCTTAATGGCTTCATGGCTGTTTATGGAAAGATTTATGTATATGATGTAACTCGGCGAACTCACCATCGTAATGAGAAAGAAGAAAGCAGGGGCAGGGGCCCAACTCTGTGGATGTAGGCACAACTTGCCGAACCACGTAAAAAAATCTCGTGTCTCTCGTGTGATTGCTTATCTCTTTTCCTTCTTCGATTCATCCCATCACTAGAAGTTAACAACGCTATTCAAGAATCGAAATCACGAAAAGTTTTAATTCGTAACTATATTCCATTAAGAAATCAATACGTAGCTTCTGAGGTTTTGTGTTAGGAATCTCTGTACATAATTGGAAGGTATACCTACTTCCACATCAAATTTCCGAAGTAGTGTTTAACTTCCTATAAGACTATGGTGAGTTTCTAAAAAAAAAAAAAAATAGATGAGCAGTTGAAGTTTAATAATAGATTATTAAAATTGGTCTTCCTTCAAGTAGTCCTTCAGTTTTTTCCTCGGCTTGGTAATGACCCTGCTGCTTCCCAACTGAGTTGCATCTTCCAAGCCTAAATCCAGCCATGAAGTGTCCAATGACGACTTATAATCATGTCTTTGTAGACTTTCATCGTCACCTTCCTCTTGATTACTCGTCTCCGTTAGATAGTTGATGTAACAACTTGTCCATTCCTTTTCGCATTTCACCCCTTTCAAAAGCTCGATGATCTGAAAACAATCGTATCGAGAAATGTCAAACTCATTTTTTCCTACAAATCTCCTGCTGATGAGAAAAGAAGAGAGAGTGAATTATGTTACCTGGTTTGCTGTTGGACGCAATCTGGCTGAGGCTTTGGTGCAAAGGGTGGCAGCCAAAACCATTCTACCTAATTGAGAGTTATCCACTTGCTCGCTCATTAACCTTGGATCAAGCAATCCTCTGTGATTCCCACTTTCCATCAACGGAATCGCCTGGACCATAAACAAACATGACCAATTTTCAGTTTCTTGATGAACAAGCAATACACGAGGCAAATGTTGACCAAATGGGAAGTTAGGTAAGGTCAAACTGAATAAGGAAATGCTCACCCATTTGACTAATCCCTCTTGTGCTTTTGAACTATTGTTTGTGATGATTGCTTTCCTTCCAGAGACCAGTTCCAGCAGAACAATACCAAATGAGTAAATGTCTACTTTCTCACTCACCCTTCCATGCATGAAATACTCTGGAGCTATGTACCCAAAGGTTCCAACCAGATCTTTGTTTGTCATGTGGGTCGAATTTGCTGGGCCCCATATGGCAAGCCCAAAATCTGATAACTGTGAGGGCAAGAAATTACAGAATATGGTCAGAAGACTTCGATACCAACCGGATCGAGTCAAGTCACAACGGGTTTGATCTTGACGAGTTGAGTGATTATGGTGTAGTACGAGTTGTTAAAAATCAGATCCTCATCATGAGCAGTACATCATAACAAATGAACTGCAAGTACTAAGGAGTAATCTTTAACCAGTTGTTGAATCATTTTTTTTTATCATTTTCGACATTAGCTCGATTCTATACCTTAGCATATGTCTACTCCCATCCCATCAAATAAAGCATAAATCATATGGGAATGAAGTACCTGTGGTTGAAGATCACTGGACAGGAGAATATTGGAAGACTTGACATCTCTATGGATGACTGGCCTTGGACATTCACTATGCAAGTAACTCAGAGCTTCAGCAACTTCAACAGCCACTCTAAACCTCACTTCCCATGGCAGTACAGCCTTCTCCTCACCATCATCTGAAGAGTGAAAAGTTTACCAATTAGCAATCAATTTTACCATGTCTGTTAAAAATCTTAAAACTGTAAAAATGGTTTGTAGAATTTACCTTGCAGGCTTTCCTCCAAGCTGCCATTGGACAGGAAATCATAGACCAACATGAGAGACTCTCCTTCAATGCAGACACCAATGAGAGGAGTGATGTGTCGATGCTTTACTAAAGACATGATTTCGACTTCTAATGAGAAGTCGTTCCAAGCTTCCTTGTAAGGTTTCAGTACTTTCACTGCTACTGATTTCCCATCAGGAAGGCAGCCTTTGTACACACTGCTGCAACCTCCTTCTCCAACCAAGTTCTGTGGAGAGAAATCTTGAGTGGCTTTCTTCAACTCTCCATGGCTAAACAGTTTGCAGGGAGAGGACTTTAAACCATCATCATCATCACTATGATGGACACATCCTCTGGAATTAAAGTCAGTCTTTGAGTTCTGAATCCTATCCTCGTCGGTTACGAATTCCTCCCAGAAATCAGATGCTGATGCTGATGCAGAAGGGTTTCTTCGAGCCGCCGATGACTGCCTCGAAAATGCAGAAACTAGAGTGGAAGAAGAGGTTTCACTAAGACTGCTACATTTCCTAAAACTCGGTTGCTTCTGAGACGATTTTCTCCTGAGAAGCGGCCAGCCAAGTGGGGATCCTGCAAGTTCTCTTTTGATTGTGGAGATTGTTCTCTCTGGAGCTTTCTTATTTGGAGTCTCATCACTAAAATGTTCCTTTGATTCATGATCTTCTGAGTTTTGATCCATAAGAAACCTGGTTTTGTTCTCTTCATTTTGCTTCTGGTCTAGATACAATTTCAGCCTTGTAGCTAACTTCAACCCTGAACGATTGCTTCTCAATACTATCTTCCTCCTGTGGGAACATGAAATGAACCCATGAACACTATCTTCAAACCAGATATAAACCAAGCTAACAATTCAACTTTCGCGAAACATATATGATCGATTGTATTGGTTAAATCGCGTACTATCATGATTTCGTTATAGTTAAGCAGCGATTCCATTAACAACTTCACCGATTTGATTTCTAATACGAATTCAACATGCCCTGAACATGAAACTTAAAACTAACACAAACAGAGGAAATAAAACTACATACCGGATACCAGTTTCCTGGTCTATCCCCACAATCACCGCCATGTCTGCAAATTGCTGCTTCCCTCCATCAACTCTTGATCGTGAAGCTTGACAATTGGGCTTCAACTGTTCCATACCCAAAACCTCTCAGAACTCCAATTTCGACTCACCAACTTCCCCAAAAGGAATAAAAAGAGGATCATCCAAAAAAGGATAAAAGACACAAACCTTTATTAGCAACCGCTTGCATCGGCAGCCTTTGTCTTCTTCTTCCAGTGAGCTGCTGAGAATTTCATAATTCTGTTCCTCAGGGAAATCTCCCTGGCAAAGCTTCATCTTTCAATTTCGTTCAGAAAGAAGTAAGAGGAGCGAGAGCATATATATATATTTTTATATGACATGAGGAAGCCGCAAGAAGGTTGGTTTTGGTGACACCTAACTGAGCCGCCATGACCATTCTTCGGAACCCGGCATTGAATTTGAAGAAAATTACAAAGAGGGAAAGAGACAGAGTTACACAAGATTAAATAACTGCGCGGATAATATTCCCAGCCATGGTCGTCACGCCAGCTGAAATTGATCATATGTAAATATTAAAGAATTGGAGAGAAGCCCATATGATTAGAATGTGTTTTACTGTTTGTGGAGCTAAGTTAGGGGAATAAGGATGGAGAATTGGACACGGACTGTTCTCAATTTGAACGTTTTGACCATCGTTTTCTGGTTTAATATACAAAATAGGTTTATAGATGAAACTCGTGACTCGTGAGTGATGGTGTGTTCAATTAAATACTCCTAATTATTTTAAGTGTATACTAAATGATTATAAATGAAGCTTGAGAGACACCCGTGAAAGCAAACAATTAATCTAGCCTAACATTGTTAGGTATGGTAATTCTTGAAAATGATACATTACAATCTAGGGATGGTTTTCTGAACTTATGCACTCTTACAAAATAAATTGAAACCGTATGATAATTTAGAATTAGTAGAATTCTAGTCTTTCGATGATACGTATAAATATTAGAAATTCATTTATATCAAATATGTTTTCCTATAAATCTATTAATAATAAACGAAGTTAATAATGGAGCTAGTACTTAGACTTAATAACGATATGTCATTCTTTTTGTTTTTTAATGAAATATGCCCTCTACAAAACCTATCAACCACGGCTGAACAAATGTTCAAACGATCAAACCTCGACAGAATGGGAGGGGTAATGTCAGTTTTGACCATTCATTTATTTTACTATGTCTCGCTAAAGTGAAATTATTAGGGATAAAGTGAAATTATTAGGGGTATACAAAAGAAATAAAGAAAAAATTATAGTGAAATTGTTATAGGTATTTTAGACATTCATGTCACCCAAACCACAATTCGATCGAGGCTGACATTTTTTGGATAAATTTTTTGATGCAAAATACATGAGTATATATTCTATCACTGAAGTGGTATATATTGTTGATTTTGGCACGAAAGTGTACCACTCCAGTGATAGTTGATTCTTGGATAATGAAGTGTTATTTCTATGACTACAGTCTAACATTACATTGATAGTTAGTCGTGTGAATGTTGTTCTACTTCTACCACTAGTGCGGTATTTGTACCGTTGTAATTGTAATTGTACCACTGATAGTTAGTCGTGTGAATTTTCTTGTATTTCCATCACTAGTGCGGTATTTGGTGTACCGTTGTAATTGTAATTGTACCACTGATTTATATCACTAAAGTGATAGTTGCAAAGATGTATTGGTAATTCTACCACTGAATTCTACCACTATAGTGATAGTTGTCTTATCAAACACATATTTCTATCACTGCATTGATAGTGTTGATTATTGTCTGCAGGAATGGTCAGGACGAAGAGACCGTAACTTGGAGTGCCTAAAGGAAAGAGGCATGGAAGCTATGTTCCTCGCTATGTAGAAGTTGGGGTAGGTCAAGATCATTCCTCGGGTGCGGGTACCAACAAGAAGCAACACTATGAGAGTCGGGATAACGAACAATATAAGGGAAAGAGGAAACGTACTGATGATGTTAGCGACAAGAAGTGCAACCCTAACTTTATCATTCAAATTTTGTTTTTCCGTGAAATTACCTAAGTGACCCGGTCATCCTTCGACACCAGATTTACCGTTGTTTAGACTTCCCACAAACAATTTCTTAGGGATTTCATGTTTTATTTGTTACATTGGTTGGATATTTGGCATTTTCCTTTTTTTATAACACATTTTACTCCTCGGCTAGTGGTGATACTAATGGAAAATTGTTGGTTTGCTTACGTATTAAATTGGTTGTACATGTATCAGTTCAGTGGTACATGTATCAGTTCAGTGATACATCTATTAGTACAATGGTATGTGTATCAGTTCACTGGCACATCTTTCAGTTTAGTGGTACATGTGCCATTTCAATGGTACCACTCAAAAGTATATCTAATACTGCAACGGGAACATTTAAGATGAATTTCGATTTTGCTAATGGTACAAGTACAGTATATCCAACGCTGCAAGTGGGTGGTCACATTTTTTGTGTGGAAAGTATGACTTGAATAGTTGCACTAGTACTTGTATAAGGTCAATGGTACATATGGTTACTGTATCACTCCACTGGTACACGTACCACTCCACTGGTACACGTACCACTCCAATGGTACATGTACCACTCTTCACAATTTTTTTAAGTCTAAACAAGACATATGGTTACTAGTATCACTCCACTGGTACACGTACCACTCCACTGGTACACGTACCACTCCAATGGTACATGTACCAGTCTTCACAATTTTTTTAAGCCTAAACAGGACATATGGTTATTAGTATCACTCCACTGGTACACGTACCACTCCACTGGTACATGTACCAGTCCATTGGTGCCTCCTGTGTTCGGGAGGAGAGTCCGATCACGTCTTCACACCCCATCATTTGATGCCGCACAAGAGTCGCCGTTCTTGGCATGCCCAGAATCGTCGCGCGGAAAGTTGGATCCGTCTTCCCTCTCAATGTGACTTTCATCTGTTTGATCTCCGGCGATAACCTTGCGTCTTGCCCTCCGACGGCGAGCAACCCACTCGGTAGGTCAGAGGCGATTCCAGGACGGCGGCGGCTGGAGATAGGAGGATGGTGATGGGGGAAGACGCCGGAGGAGTACGACGGTTGTAGGGATCGAGGCGGCACAAGTGGAAGGCTTGGATGAAGAGGGTGGAGAGGGGTGATGGCGGCGGCGAGAGGAAGAGGAAGATGAAAATGTGGGAGGGTTTTGGTCATTTCAGAGTACAGGAGGCTTCTGGTGAAAATGAAATCAAAATGGAAAGGAGTTCCAAATGAGAGAGAAGGAGACGAAAGAAAGACAAAAATGGCAATTAATTGCACATTTGGGGGGTGCTTTTTCCTGGTTTCCCAAGTTCTTTCCCTTTCCAACGTGGGTGAGAGAACCAAAATTACAAGATTAAAAAAAAAAACAAGTTTAATTAATACTTGCCAATGATTGAAAATAAAATTGGTCAATCATAAAGGGGTGTCAAAAAGCCAACCCCTTTGGGGTAGGCATAGTATCCGACCCCTAACAAAGAAGCATGTTCCATAACAAGGCATAGAAGAGATAGATATAATACTATTAACACTAATTATAAATACTTTTTCAATCACTGATACAAAACTGTAATATTGACCTCTCGTTCTACAAAATGTGTTAAGAATTTCTTAACCTCGCCTAATCGCGAATGAGAATTAGTGCATGATATAATTTTTGGTTATGCCGATTTAATTGACATAACCCTCTGTCGTAAATTGTAGTAATGTATTTAATCCATGGTTTATATCCAGTAGAATAGAAGGAACAAGATTTTCAAAGCACCTTTCAAAAAATGAAATTCCACGTGTTCCACGTATAACATGAAGCTTGCCACCACGCAAATGCATCCAATTTCAGCTCAACTGTTGGTTGCCCCGACTGCCTAACACGATCAAACTGGTCAAGCAATAAGATAATGTTGCTCGGGAAGGTGTACACGAAAATGCCCTTTCTGTTTGTGTTGACCCTATTACTCTATGCTTGGACAATTTAGTACTCCTAAAACTCACCAAACCCTTTGGTCTAAAATGTTATGTTATGTGTTTCCTTATTTCAGAATATAAATTATTTTAAGGAAGATTTCATTTACAAAACAATAAATTTAATTTTATGACAATCAATTGACAAAAAGTGATCTTTAATACAGTAACAAAATACTCTTACGTCACCAGATTAGATTAATCCATTTCATAAACATACATAAGAATTTATTAATTTTGTCATAAACTTTACATGTGTGTTGTGTCTCGTGACTTCAAGGAATACATTAGAAGTTTAGAACCTAGCAGGTTAGCACCATGGTTGTCATGTTGATAGCATGCCGACAATGAACACGGTATAAAACATCACAGACATGATTAATTTAAAACTCTTAACTTAAATCACGTCACTTAAATTTAATTAATCAAAAATATAATTTATAATGTATTTTAAAATAAAATATTAATATTATTTGTTAAATTCAGATATAAATATTTACTTATAGACGAAAATCACTAGTAGAACCATTACACTTGCTAAAGCTAAACCGGTTTGATAACTTTATTCCTATCCCTCTGTCACGGCCTTACTCTTGGTCGTGCGGCCCTAGCTCTCAATTCCGTTAGAGATGCTAGGCAGCCTTCTCACAAGCTCTCAAACTCACTCAACTCACAAGAACAAGGCACAAGAAGATGGGAGAAACTCTATAGTTGTATTGCTCACAAAAATGATGGATGAGTTACAAGTGAGGGAGATGGCTCCTTATATAGGCCTCTCCTCATACAAGGCATCAATGCCCCTCATAATGGTCCCTCCCCATTACTACACACTATAAAGTCCCCCCATAATGCACTCTAATAATGCTACCCATAATGTAGCCCATAAGTGCACCATTAAGCTCTCATTTAGGTGGAGAATCCTAAGAGCATCTCTATGCTACTAGTCTTCCATACATGCTACATGTGCAGCCGCCTTGTTGTCACCTTGTTGGCGCCATGTCATCTGCCACATGTGACATCCTCCCCCACCTATGCTCGCGACGCCCTCGTCGCGTCCTTGCTACGAAATGCCTCCTTCGACCTCGAGCAGCCTCTTTCGACTCTCGAGCCTCGTTGGTGACATTCTCCTCCACTCAATCCACGACGCCCTCGTCGTGGCTCTTTGGCAGACGCCTCCCTTGCCTTAGCTTCATTGCTTGCAAGGTCTCGTTGCACCTTCCTCCAAATCAAGGATGGCCCTGGCTCGCTCTCGAGCCTTGTGCTCCCATGATGTTGCGCACTCCCCCGCGGTCTTCTCCGTCGCGTCTTTGAGTGTCCCGCCTTCTCGATCATGGTGGCCTTTCCTTGCTTCTCCTGGCAAGTCGAAGATGACTCATCTTCGTCTCTCATGGCTCCACGATGTTGTGCACTCCTCCTTCTCGTCCTTCTCCAACGAGTCTTCGAGTGAGCCGCTGCCTCCACCATCGTTGCCACTTCTCGCTGCTCTTGCCTTGCCAAACACCTCTTGTTTGACTCGAGTTGCTCTCTTGTCATGGGAACCGATCTTGCTCCGCCATTGATGCATAATCTATTGGCGTATGGGATCGGGAAAGCTTTCTCCCGCACCATGAACTCCATGCCAATGATGACCTGATAATCATCCAACGAAACCACCTCAAAGTCCGCCACCCCGGTCCATCCTCCAAGCTTGAGTGGCACCTGGCGCGCTACTCCGTGAGTTCTTGTGGCCCTTGAGTTGGTAGCCTTCATCCACCCTCTTCGCTTCTTCTCGTACGTGATGCCCAGCCTCCGCGCTTCATCTACGTCGAGAAGGTTGCAGCTTGCCCCGGTATCAACCAAGGCTTTTGTCTTTCTTTGGTTGAGCTTTGCCTCTACGAAGCATTGACCGTGTTGCTCGGGATGGGGAGGCTCTTCCGTCCGCTTGATGGCGCTCAATCTCTTCATGCAACCAATCTTCGCGACATGGGGATCCACTCTTGGAGTCGCCTCCGCTTCCTCTTCCGAGCTCGAGCACTCTGCTAGTACGGCCTTCATTGCCGACAACTTGTGCTTTCTTGGGCAATCTCTCACACGATGCGAATCATCACAAAGGAAGCAAGTAAGTGGTTTCTCAACCTCCTTGGTCCAGTCTACCACGCCTTCGTGTGTCCCTGTCATAGTCGCGTCCACCTCCATTGCCTCCGAACTCCACACGTTCCTCTGGCTCGTGGTACTCGACTAGGGACTCGGCAATTGCCATTGCCTCGGCAAGACTTTGCACGCCTCGCCGTTGTAGCTCCAACTTCGCATCTAGCCGAGTCAGGATGTGGCTATGAAGGGGATCATTGCAAGAGAAGGCACAACTGGTCGGAGGCTATTGCCGTCTCCCTGATGAGCCCAAGGCAGGGCGAAACCAGTTGGCATGCGTATGCAGAGAGGCTGGTCTTGAGGAATGAGTGCACCTCAAGACGCCGCACGGACTTCGGAAGTCTATGTCCGTGACAAGTGGTATCAGAGCCTGGTTAGGCTGAAGAGCCTAGTTCCTCTCTCAGTACGGCATAGGTCGTGTATGGGCCGACCTATGCCCGAATGAGAGGCGGTCCTGGGTGAGCATATCAGGCGGTCCAGACGCAGATACACATGTGTTGCGCCGTTGTGGGGGACCTCGACAGGCTGAAGATGCAGCGGCCGAGAATGCCGTTCAACCGAGGAACTAACGCTAGCGAGAGCGTAGGGTGAAGGTCGATTGAGGTACAAACGCTGGGAGTAGCGTAGGGTGAAGGTCGACTGAGGTACTAGCGCAGCAGAAGCAAAGAGTGAAGGTTGATGTCGAGGGGCGAAGCGGTATGTGCGCGGGGCACAGCAGGCTAGCGCGAGAGACGCGACCGGAGACTGTCCATCAGGGGGTGGTATCGTATGCGGACGCCCACAATCGGTTCGAGAGTTGCAATACATGCTGCGGAGAGAATCATTCTTCACCAGCACGTGGACGTGCTGCATTATGAGTGGTGGAGAATGTCACGACCCGAAATGTCGTGACCGTATTGATCGTCTGAAGAACGCTGCCATCTGGTTGTCTTGCCATGAGAAGGGTAAAGGGGGCGACATTAGCGATAAGGCGTTGTCTGCCTGTGCATCGCATCTAGCCGAGTCAGGATGTGGCTATGAAGGGGATCGTTGCAAGAGAAGGCACAACTGGTCGGAGGCTATTGTCGTCTCCCCGATGAGCCCAAGGTAGGGCGAAACCAGTTGGCATGCGTATGCAGAGAGGCTGGTCTTGAGGAATGAGTGCACCTCAAGACGCCGCACGGACTTCAGAAGTCTATGTCCGTGACACCTCCCACTGGAGAGATTTTTCCAAAAATAGCACTTTTTAAAAAAATAATTCCAAAAATAGCACCCAACTCCGAAAAATTCCAAAAATAGCACCATTTTTGCAAAACCACCACCCGGAGGTGCGTTTTTCGATGAAAACGCCACCCGAGGGCGCGTTTTTTGATGAAAACGCACTGGTAGGGAGCGGTTTTGCAGACCGCACCCCCAGGGTGCGTTCTGCCTTTTTTTTTTTTTTTTGAAAAATCCTAACTTAGGTGGAAACTTCAAACGAACGTATCTTTATGTTCGGGTATCCGATCGTCGCGATTTTTTTTTGATTCCGCATAACTTTTTGAGATCTTGCAAGCCGAAGACTGCCAAAGGTGGTTTGGTCTCGCCTTCTTCCCAAAAAATGTCGTTTGCTACCCTGAACGAACTTTTTTCCAATTTCGTCAAACTTTGGACAACTATAACTTTGTGCTCCAAAATCCAAATGGCATGAAATTTTTTTTTTATTTCGCATAAATTTTTAAGGAATACAACTTTTATCATAGACATAATTTCAAAATGTATGTGGATTGCTGAGAAGGGAAGATAAGCTATTCCCAAAATCCTGTATATCCAAAAATAATTCCTGTTTTGAAAATACATTCCTAGTAAAAATTGTAGTCCTTAAAAAGTTATGCGAAATAAAAAAAAAATCATGTCGTTTGGATTTGGAGCACAAAGTTACGGTTGTCCAAAGTTTGACGAAATCGGAAAAAAGCTCGTTCGGGGTAGCAAACGACATTTTTTGGTACGAAGGCGAGACCAAACCATCTTTGGCAGTCTTCGGCTTGCAAGATCTCAAAAAGTTATGCGGAATCAAAAAAAATCGCGACGATCGGATACCCGAACATAAAGATACGTTCGTTTGAAGTTTCCACCTAAGTTAGGATTTTTCAAAAAAAAAAAAAAAAAAGGCTGAAAGCACCCTGGGGGTGCGGTTTGCAACCAGAACGCACCCTGGGTGTGCGCGGTCTGCAAAACCGCTCCCTACCAGTGCGGTTTTCATCGAAAAACGCACCATCGAGTGGCGGTTTTACAAAAATTGTGCTATTTTTGGAATTTTTCGGATTTAGGTGCTATTTTTGAATTTTTTTTTTAAACAGTGCTATTTTTGGAAAAATCTCCCCACGGGCCGTTACTGGGTTTTTTTAAGGGAAAAAAACCGCTCTATGAAAAAGAAAAAAAAAACCGCGGTCTCTTCCCATTCTCTATTTCTCCATTAGCCCGCTAGATCCGAACCAGAAGAGCTCCGCTCCAGCAGAGTCAAATTGAGAGAGAAGAAGGAAGAAGAACGATGTTGCTGGACGGAATCGAGGACGAAGAGAAATGGCTGGCGGAAGGAATCGCCAGCGTTCAGCAGAACGCCTTGTTCATGCATCGCGCGCTGGTACTTCTCTCTCTCTCTCTCTCTCTCTCTCTCGATCAGTTTATCGGACTACTTCTCTGTTCTCTTCTCGCTCCGTTGAATTGCTTCAAAAATTTTGGCGGTGGAAAACTTAATTTCATCTTCTCAGGACGCTAATAATCTCAGAGATGCTCTCAAGTACTCAGCTCAGATGCTTTCCGAGCTCCGAACGTCAAAGCTCTCGCCTCACAAGTACTACGAGCTCTGTAATTACCTCGCTCTCCGAACTCTCTTTCAAACTCGGAATTCTGGTTTCGTATTTCATCGAAGGGGAGAGTTTTGATGGTGACTGCACATTTTTGGCGAGAATTTGTAGATATGCGAGCGTTTGATGAGTTGAGGAAGCTGGAGATGTTCTTCAAGGATGAGAGCAGGCATGGAGTTTCAGTCGTCGATTTGTATGAGCTTGTACACCATGCAGGCAACATATTGCCTAGACTGTAAGTGTTCTCCTTACCACTACCAGTGATAGAGGCATTGAACTGTTGAAGCTTGTCTTAGGTTTAAGTTTGAATTGGAATTTCGCGAGCGTTTGTTTGGCGGTTTGCGAAGCTGAAACGTGATATTCGTTACTAGGTACCTACTCTGTACGGTTGGATCAGTGTATATGAAAACAAAGGAAGCTCCGCCCAAAGATGTGCTTAAGGATCTCGTGGAAATGTGTAGAGGTGTTCAGCATCCTGTTCGTGGATTGTTTCTCAGAAGTTACCTCGTTCAAGTCAGTAGGGATAAGTTGCCTGATATTGGTGCTGATTATGAAAGGTAAGCAGATTACTCCTCGGCGATTCTTCACAAATTGAGTTGTTCCTTAGAATGTAAAAAAAATCACTGATGTGCTTTCTGATTATAGGTTAAGGCAGTGAAAAGCTCTAGGTAAAGAATAATATGTAGTTCAGAAAGGACAAAGAATTCTGTAGTTAATCATAATGATATATAAATACCTAGTGGACTGTTATCGTGGTATCTAGATTACAATGTATTTGCATAAATTTTCATTTGATCAGTTCACTATGTGGCCTCTTGATGCAGTGGCCCTCTTCTGATTGTTTCTTACATTCGATTTTGACGTGTCACTTCCAGAGATAGAGAAGGCAGCACTGTCATGGATGCTATAGAATTTGTGCTGCAGAATTTCGTGGAGATGAATAAACTTTGGGTCCGGTTGCACCATCAGGTTTGATGTTTATCTCTACATTATTGTTCTCTTTTACCATGTTATTGCCATGCATAGCACCATGATACTTGATTTTGCAATGCCGTACAGGTAAAAAAATGAATCATGAGAACATGATTTTTGGCTATGCAGGGTGTTTTGGTGTTTGGTGACCTGAGTTGAGGACTTCAATTGGGCTTTCTGGTCTGCAGGGACCTGGTCAGGATAGAGACAAGCGGGGAAAGGAAAGAAGCGAGCTCCGTGATCTTGTAATGATCTTTTATGTCATGCCCGTCGGTTCAGAAATAGCAAACATTATGTGGTGGCTGCAGTTTACTATATAAGTGATACCTGTAGCTTTGCTCTTGTTAGGTGGGGAAGAATCTTCATATTCTTAGTCAACTAGATGGTGTGGACCTTGAAGTGTACAGAGAGAATGTTCTTCCCAGAGTCTTAGAGCAGGTATGATTGGTTTCTTCTCATGTTGCTACTTTTGCTTCCCTTGAGGAGCCAATCGGGCCGCGCATGACGTCTTGTTGTCTCTCAAGCATCTAAGCAAAGTCCGTATGTTGGTGCAGGTTGTCAATTGTAAGGATGAACTGGCACAGTATTACTTGATGGATTGCATAATTCAGGTCTTCCCAGATGAGTACCATTTGCAGAGCCTGGAGACACTATTAGCAGCTTGCCCGCACCTTCAGGTAACTTGTTCTCCTCTCAAAGGACTTAATCCTCATTTTGTCATTTGTTGCATAAAATCCATGGCTCCACCACTCAGAATGTATTGCATATCTCTGTTATTATATTATCTGGCACAACCTTAACACCGCAATAGGTATTGCAATGTCATATTGGATGCTATTTATGAAGTTGCAAGTCTAACGATTGAGGTTCTGGTTGAGATGGTTTCTTCTTTTTCTTAATTTTCTTTTAATGAATAAGACATATTGTAGATAACTAGATTCCACCAAAGGAAATGGAACCTTTAATTAACACAGATGAATATCTTCTGAAACTAGTTTTATAGTGCTTAAATGATGTGCAGTTAACATGGTGTTGGGTCTCTACGTGAAAGGAAACTTCTTTATGAGACACTTGTGTCAGGTTGACATACTGATTCTTCTCATGTTATTTCCAGCCAACTGTAGACGTCAAGACTGTTCTCTCTCAGTTGATGGACAGATTTTCTAATTATGCAGCCACCTGTCATGATGTGAGTACGTTTAACTAGACCTCCTGTTATCTTCCATTATCTTTATTCATCGTTCTTCTTCCAGGTTCTACCAGAGTTCTTGCAAGTAGAAGCTTTTGCTAAATTGAGCAGTGCTATTGGCAAGGTTAATCACTTTTGCTTTCTTGCTTTATTACTTCAGTTCTCTATGGAGTTATTTCATTTATTTCATAGGAACTGCTAGTCATAGGCTTACTACTGCACTGTAAATGACAGGTTATAGAAGCACAAGTTGACATGCCTGTTGTTGGAGCCATTACTTTGTATGTGTCTCTACTTACATTTACTCTCCGCGTTCATCCAGATCGTTTGGACTATGTTGATCAAATACTGGTATATTTTTCTTCTGATGTGGTAATGCGACTCATCGTTATAAGAAATTACTTTGCCATCAAATTGATATAATCATTTAAATCATGTGTATTGGCTATAGGGTGCATGTGTGAAGAAGCTTGCTGAGAAGCCTAGACTTGAAGACAAGAGAGCAACCAAACAAATCGTTGTACTCCTGAGTGCTCCTCTGGAGAAATACAATGATATTGTCACTGCTTTAACACTTTCAAATTATCCTCGTGTTATGGACCACTTGGATAATGAAACAAATAAAGTCATGGCTATGGTTATAATTCAAACCATCATGAAGAACAGTAGCTGCATTTCCACTGCTGATAAGGTATATCCTCAACAAATTTTGAAATCGAGAATGCATTCGGAACTTTTTATACGAATGTGTAGTAACTTGGTCATTGATCTTTGTAGGTTGAGGTCTTGTTCGAATTAATAAAAGGGCTCATAAAGGATTTAGACGGAACAACTGCAGATGAGGTATGAACTAACAGTCCTGCCTTAGTAGCCTGGTTTCTTTCTTTCTGAAGTTCCACTGCTGTCTGTAGTTTTCCTTGCCTATTCAACCTCATCCCTTCTAAATTGCCATTGATTTCTATCTGTTTCCTGGCACAAAAATCTAGCTTGACGAGGAAGATTTCAAGGAAGAGCAAAATTCTGTCGCTCGCCTTATAAACATGTTATATAATGAAAACCCTGAAGAACTGTTGCAGGTACTTTTTGTGATTTCTTGCTGCATTTTTTAAACATCGTACGTTCATGTTTCCATTTTGCTCACTCAGCTCGCCTTTTGTTGTCAGATTATTTACACAGTGAGAAAGCACATCATGAATGGTGGGCCAACACGACTACCTTTTACAGTTCCCCCGCTTGTATTTTCCGCACTAACGGTATGGATTTGTTTTGGCTGTATAATAATTCTTCTTCCTCATAACTAGTTTAAGGATCTGATCACCCCCACCGCCCCTTCCTTCCCAGTTCCCACGCATGAAGTTGAACTAGTCGGTTGTCATATCATATGCAATGCACTTATAAAGGCCCTGTGATAGGACAAGTTTAGTATAGAGTTAAGGCTTTTGGAAATAGGACCTACTATGTCTTAAGGTTGAGTGATCTATTGTAGATTGATGATGTGGAGGCTATTTTTTCAATTTATCAGGTGCAAGACTTTGTGTCTGGCATTTTATTGTTTAAAATTATGTACATGGAACACAGCTTATTAGATGCTTGCAAGCTCATGATGGAGATGTAGTGGGAGAGGAAGTGCCTGCAACACCAAAGGCTATTTTCCAGCTCTTGAATCAGGTAACTCTTTTGACTCGTGATTTATCAGATGCTGTAATCATCGTGTAATTTATCTCTCAGTGGGCTTAGTTAGTTGCTCATTGGGTAAAACATGCTCTCAAGTAGAATAGCATATTGGGATTCTGAATTTTTATCAGTGTAGGTGGTTAGCCTTTCTGGAACCCGCTTGATTTTTCTCTTGCATAATTGCCGTTTCAACTAGTCGAACATTGTGCCATTGTTGTAGTTTTAACTTTTAACATTTCTGAGAAATAGTTTAGTTCGAGTATCCAATATTGGTATATATGATACCCTTCTTGGTGGATACAGTGACATAATTTACTTTTCATCAGACTATTGAAGCTCTTTCAGTTGTTCCATCACCCGAGCTGGCATTAAAGTTGTTCTTGCAATGTGCTGAGGTATGTATGGTCGACCCTTTTGACAATTTAAGAATCTAGAGATGATGAAGAACCAAAAATAAATACAATGGACTAGATATATTTGCACTCTCGTATTACTTCTTCGATAAATGATGGAAATTTTATAGATGAACGCACTGTTCACTCCATTTCTTCCTGGTTTCTAATTTATGTCTTTTTTTTTATAATCAGGCAGCTAACGACTGTGAGCTTGAGCCAATTGCTTATGAATTTTTCACCCAGGCTTATGTGTTGTATGAAGAGGAAATTGCGGTAATCAATTACTCTCTCGATCGGTCCCTTCAGCTGAATTCTGAATCAACAATTCATGGAGAATGGTTCCTTAATCCGCTTTCTGCTGAAGATTTTTTTTTTCTTGGAAATCAGGATTCGAAGGCTCAGGTGACTGCTATACATCTAATCGTTGGAACCCTCCAGAGGATGCAAGTATTCGGAATTGAGAACAGGGATACATTAACACACAAGGCCACCGGAGCAAGAATCCTTAACTCTTTCCTTCTCAGTAACTTGTTCCCTTTATTATATTAGCAAACCCCATGAATAACTTGGTTCTTCTTTCTTTTTCAAGTATTCTGCAAAGCTTTTGAAGAAGCCTGACCAATGCCGAGCAGTTTTTGCCTGCTCCCACCTCTTTTGGGTCGATGACCAGGATGGAGACAAGGATGGAGAGAGGTCCTTTTTAGAATCTGTATTTTCATCAGACTTTTTATTCAAGTCAACATCTCTGACTTCGTGTGTCTTCTAATCTGTAATTTCAGAGTCCTGCTATGCCTGAAGCGAGCCTTGAGGATCGCAAATGCAGCCCAACAAATGGCCAACGCTGCCAGGGGGAGCAGTGGCCCAGTTACGCTCTTTGTCGAAATACTAAACAAGTAAAGCTCGGCCCCGACCCCAGCTTTGAAGTTGAAATCGTTGTTGGTCAGGCTAATCTTTCCTGTGTCTCTGCAGGTATCTCTACTTTTTCGAGAAGGGCAATCCGCAGATCACGAGCAATATGATCCAGGATCTGGTTGAACTAATAACCGAAGAGATGCAAAGTGACTCTGTTACTGCCGATCCAGCTTCGTATGCTTTCTTTGCCAGCACGCTCCGGTACATCCGGTTCCAGAAACAGAAAGGTGGTAGTATAGGTGAGAAATTCGAACCAATTACTGTCTGATTTCTCACATAGCAAAAGCGTATCAGTTTGGTTTCATTTTCCTAAATCGGGTTATAGAAATGTGTGGTCGATTTGAAAGAGGAGGTAGAGAGGAAATGAGTTGGGGGTAAAATATGATGTTTGGCTGAAATCAGCGTGTTTATTGTTTCTTTGGCAATGCGAATTTTTAAGCATGGAAGAAAAATGAGGGAGGGAGGGACGGAGGGTAGAATGAGTCTTTGATTTGGTTTTGTTAATTGTCCTCTGTGGTGGTGGGTGGTGGTTTTGAATGGTGCTTGTTGGATTAGGTTTAGTTGAAACGTAGTTGGACATAGGAAGGTAAGTAATCCCGCGGAATTGTAAGCACGAAGTGGATAAATGGGATAGGTTTTTACATTTCATTTCCATTAGTCTGTCTAATTTGTATCTCGACCTAGTTTTGTTTTTGTTTTTAATCGCTACTATATTTGTCACTTTAAGTTAGGGTATTTGTAAAGTGTCCAGAAATAACAGGTGAATTAGTCTAGTAGCAACCTGTCATGGCAGAGTGGATCGCTTTACTTTCACTCATAATTCGGACTGGCATCAAGTGAAAGAAAAAAATGAGTGACAATGTGTTTCATTTGGCGTCAAACAAGATTACTTATGTCTCTGGAATGCATCGTCTGAATGTACTCAATTTGGCATCAACCAAGATTATTTGATTTAGCATTTAGACAGATTTCAAAAATAATAACTTGGGGGTAAAGGCTACATTTGGTCATTGAGATTACTAAATCGTATCATGTTTAGTCACTAGAAAATTTTAATATAAATTTTGGTTACTCGAATTACTGTAACAAGTCACATTTAGTCACTCTCCTGTTAGTTTTCGTCCAACTCCATTCCATGAATGCAAAATGTGACACGTTTCAGTAAATGTGACCTGTTTCGGCAATTTGAGTGACTAAATGTGACACGTTTCGGTAATTTGAGTGACCGAGTTGGACGGAGGCTAACAGGAGAGTGACTAAACATAGATGTGATTAATGCAAAAATCCGATCAAACATTTGACTCATTGTAGTCCCATACCTCCGTCAATTTCCTTCGGAGCTATTTTCGCCAACAGAATGACTTCACACTCTCACCGGAAAATAACGAGGGGAACGTTGCCTTGTTACTCAATTTACGGTTTCACAAAGCCAGAACTTGGGAAATGCAGAAATGGCGCTCGCTCGGTCGAGCATAAAAGTTTCCTGGGTTCATGCAGCTGGCTGATCTTCGTTTGCTCTATTTCGTTAAACACAAGATACATGCATCTCCTTCCCGGATCACTTGCATCTGAACGATCAACAGTCCGCCTAGTTTATCCAAGTACCCTTTCTCAGCCACTCAATCCACTGTAGAATAATAACACAATCTCCAAACAGCAAGGACAACAAGAATACTTCAACAACGAACCTAAACAAAAACATTTTTGTCTCATCCTTGCATTGCATAGTATCTTTCATCTTCCCAGTCATCGACGACCAGAACCACAAACCAAGACCCAAATAAACCCAGACATTTTGAACCTACGGAAGAAGCCGACTGTTAACTCACACCACACCCACTACTTTCGAGCCCATGTCAAGTCATCCGACAGTTATGAAAACGTGCAGTGCTACTGCTAACACAGGTTTCACGCCTCACCGAAGTCAAGACTCCAGACCATCAATCCTATCATATAGCCAGGTTCCTTCAGACAAGTTCAAGGACATAATAACCCATCTTTATCAGCTAGTGAGACACAACAAGAAAGCATGCTCGAGAGGGAATGCAGTTCAAAATACAGACGAGAACATTATGTAAGAAAGCAAGACGAATAATGAGTCTGGAATTTCCATCCTAAGAACACAACCCTCAAATACTATACAATAACGGATTTCTCAGCTTCCCAATTTCAGGGCCAGATCGGAGGAAAGACGATAATGAGAAGTTACCTAGGGGGATAGCTGGGGAAGAGAGACTTTCTTCCCACTTTGGGAGAATCAAATTACAATATGGAACAATTCTTTTGTCCCTTTCTCTTCTTCTTCTTTTGCTTTGGAGGCTGGAGCACTACCTTGATGGCCGCATCAAACACCGCTTTCACATTCTGCAAAAGTATAATAATATCGTAAGTTACCAAGATAGTCAGAATATTTAAGCATAGTTGCCTTGAAACAAAATGGCAGAGCAGTGAGCTGGTACCTGCTGCGTTTTGGAGCTACATTCGATGTAGGCTGGAGCTCCAATCAATTTTTTGAGTTCCTCTCCCTTAAACAGAAAGCCAATAGTCAGAGACAAATTTCGGAAGAGAAGCAGAGAGGCACTAGAAGAGATCAGGCTTGGCCTTTTTACCTGAGCAGTGGTAATAGGCACTGCACCAGGGTGGTCATTGAAGAATTGCTTATCATCTCGAAGATCTACACCATTTCGTGAAAGAATCAGAGGCACACATAAGTTTCAAGGAACTTCTTAACGGAACATTAGAAATGAAATAGAGCAGCGAAATGCTTACCTAGCTTTGTTCCGACAAGGATAATAGGAACCCCAGGTGCATAGTGCCTCAATTCTGGAATCCACTGAACTCAACAGCAAGAACACTTTTCATGAGCACTTAAAAAAGAAGGGATCTCTTGAACTACTATAAGCTGCCAACCAACATTTCCTGACCTTTTTAGCAATGTTTTCATAGCTAGCCTTGCTAATAAGTGAAAATGCAAGAATAAAGACATCCGCTCCTCGGTAACTCAATGGCCTCAGCCTATTGTAATCCTCCTGGCCTGTTCAGGGCACAAGGAAAATTCCAAATCAAGAAAGCTCACCAACCAAGCTGATATTACCATCAAACCGCTAGTAATAACGCTGAAATTACCAGCAGTATCCCATAGCCCCAAGTTGACGGTGCTTCCATCCACAACAACATTCGCACTGAAATTGTCGAATACGGTTGGCACATAATCCTGGTTTTTCACCACAAACATACACGAAACAGCAGCAATAAGCAACATAGATCAATAACTAAATGTTCGACAATAGCAGAAAAGTTTCACACATGCTGGAAAGGGAAAGGATCAATGTGTTGTGGCCATTGACACTTAGTTTGGACCTGCTAGAATGAGTTATTTCTAATTTCCATCGAGATCAATTCAAGCTAAGTCAGGTCTAGCTAGTAACTACGATATTAACGTAAGAAAACAGCCAACAGATTGATAGTTCACTGTATTGACTGATGACTCCACAATTCAACTACCAGGTCAAAGCGACACCAAAGCTTCAACGACCAGCACACTGAACTTCCGACGATTTTCAAGCAATTCAGAGTCCAACATCAAGAAATTACTTCCCTGAAGGATGAACAGGATTGAAACGTTTCAGCAGCTTGCTGCTAGGACTACAAGTTCATCAAAGAACGAACAAGTTCTCTCCACCATCGAGATTCAAACGAAGTCAACAACTAACAAAGTAATCATCGAATGACTTCAGCTACAACCGCCAATGTGAGAGAGAATTCGGAAGACGAGCTGACTTAAACAGCCGATCTAAGCTACTCGAATGAAAAGTCCGTCCAGCTCAAATTCGCGCCCTAATTGACCGCGGGAACAAAAAAAACAGGAAGCCTACGGAACTGAAGAGAATAACAGTAGATTTAAGCAACAAGAGATTTGAGTGAGACGCCGGGGGTTACCGTGGGGAAAGTGTTGCTAGTGTACGAAATAAGCAGGCAGGTCTTGCCAACGGCGCCATCGCCGACGGTCACGCACTTGATGAACCTCGAAGCGCTCATTTCCAGCTGCAGCGGCTCAGATCTCTCTACTCCAGCTGAAAGCACCAAAGCGACGCAAAATGCTGCTGTTTCAGCTCGCCCCTTCGCGGCCTCAAGATTCGGAGTCAAATGACAGTCTCGGAGACGACGGAGCTCATCACCAGCTGGAGAATTCCGGAGATCGGGGAGTCTAACAGCCGGCAGGAACCGCCATTGAAGGAAATGGGGAGTAGGTTTTGTGAACTGAATCAATGAGGTAGTAGAAGGATTCGGAGAGCAACCCTAACTTCTAGAGAGAGAGTAGCTGGTGGTTTGAAATATGGTAGAGGAGAGAGGGAGCAGGCGAGGATTGGGTGATGGCTTCCTTTTCTTTCCTTTTCGAATTGAATTGAATTGAATTGAATTGAATTGAATTTGTCTTGCCTGCTCTGTCGTGGGCTCGTGGCTGTGTGACCTGCCCCGATTCCCCTTGCCACTGCCACCTGCCCGTTTGGACAGTGCGCTTTGGATTCACCTTCTTTCTTTTGCTGGGCTGTATTTTCCGAAAAAAGCCCAATGGGGGCTACTGCTGTGTTTTTTTCGAACTGAGGAATTCGTTTTTCCTCTATTTTCTTTGTTTTGTTTTGCAGAAACAAACTATTTTGGTTATGGAGAAAACTCCTAAGTGGGATCGGATATGATGGATAAGTTATAATGGCAGTATTGTGACAACCAACCATTAAGAAGGGTTTACCAAAAAATTAATATTGTACCACATTAATTATTATAACGGTTTTAATAGATTTATAAGAACAGCTCAACATTATACATTAAATGAGTTAGTTGGGTTATATTGGATTAGGTTTTTGGACCTAAGTGGCCAGACTACCTCTTCCTGGCCTAGGTGACCGACCGCCCTCGTAGCCTCGATAATCGATGCCCCCCCCCCCCTTGTGACAAGCAAGTTGGTATGAAACATGACTCTAAAAAACTAAGTATTGGAACAAGGCATGCTTGATAGCAACACAACTTAGAGAGTCATCCAAAAACTGAGTATGGATATCCACCTTGCCCGCAAGGCAGGCTTGGTAGCCAGCTAATAGGGTACCAAGCCAACAAGACAGATTTTGTAGTACCAACTAAATGCGGCTCCAAAAAAACTAAGTATGGAGATCAAATTGACGGAACAGGCTTGGTGAAAATGGGGTACCAAGCCGAGAGAGTGACAAGCTACCAGCTTAATGAGGCTCCAAAAAACTAAGTCCATATACTAAGCCGCCAAGACAGGCTTGGTAGCCAGGCAATAAGGTACCAAGCCGACAAGACAAGTTCGGTACCAACATATGAAATTTGACTAAGTCTGGAAACAAGACAGACTTGGTTGCCAGCCAAGAGGGTACCAAGCCGACAAGGCAGGCTTGGTAGCAAGATATGAAATTTAGCTAAGTATGGAGCCAAGAGGGTACCAAACGGCAAGGCGGGTTTAGTACCAAGATGTCAAACCTCCCAAAAACAAAGTATAGATATCAAACTGGCAGGGGTGCCAAATCAATGAGGAAGGGACAAGGCGGTCAGCTAAGGTGGCGACCCAACGGGGTACCAGGGTGGCAAGGTACCAACTCGGTGAGATTCTAAAAACTAAGTAATAGACCAAGCCAACACGACTGGTTTGGTAGCAGGGACCTACATGACTGGCTTGGTGGCAGGAGGTGTCAAGCCGGAGAGGGCGAGGTACCAAGTCATTGGGATGGACTTGCTAGCAAGCTGGTAAGAGTGGCTTACCGACAAGGCAAGGCGGTAGGGTCTCAAGTCGACAAGACAAGCATAATACCAATATGACAAGTTGGTGTCATGACGAGTTTAGACTAAGTATGGAGTCTTACTGGGTAAAGGGACTATGTTATCCTCCCGTCAAGATGAGTAACAAAGCTTAGCTAACCATTAATATCTTAGTAAATCTCATCAAGTAAATTTTCTACTCAGTTTTATTAAAACGTAACAATAGCTACATTATGATAAACAAACTAAAAAAACACACACAAACCTAAATAATTATATTATAATAAATAAAATATTAGGGTGTGCCTACGGTGACATGCATGTCACGGTGACTTCAACTTTCCGGTCGACCTCAGTTAGGATTCGGTCGACCTCATTTAGAATTCGGTCGACCTCATATAGGATCCGGAGATCGGGGAGTCTAACAGCCTGCAGGAACCGCCATTGAAGGAAATGGGGAGTAGGTTTTGCGAACTGAATCAATGAGGTAGTAGAAGGATTCGGAGAGCAACCCTAACTTCTAGAGAGAGAGAGTAGCTGGTGGTTTGAAATATGGTAGAGGAGAGAGGGAGCAGGCGAGGATTGGGTAATGAATTCCTTTTCTTTCCTTTTCGAATGAATTGAATTGAATTGAATTTGTCTGGCTTGCTCTGTCGTGGCTGTGTGACCTGCCCCGATTCCCCTTGCCACTGCCACCTGCCCGTTTGGACAGTGCGCTTTGGATTCACCTTCTTTCTCTTCTTTTTTTTACAGTAGGACACTTTTTCCATTACTTGGGGTGGAAGAAAGCCACAAATTACAGTAGGGGAGCCACAATATCAAGGACGTTAATCCAGTCCGGGGGCAGTTGGTTCCTGGCACAGGACCTTGCCACCCAGTTTGCTTTAACATTAAGCTTTCTACTGAAAAACTCGACTCGGATCGAAGGGAAAGAGCAGTATAGTTGTCGTATGGTTCCGATCCATGCCGCAGCTCGCCATGGCCATAACTCCGGGCTTCCATTCACTGCGGTAGGGTCTCAAGTCAACAAGACAAACTTAATACCGATATGACAAGTTGGTGCCATGACGAGTTTAGACTAAATATGGAGTCTTAGTGGGTAAAGGGACTATGTTATCCTCCCGTTAGGATGAGTAACAAAGCTTAGCTAACCATTAATATCTTATTAAATCTCATCAAGTAAATTTTCTACTCAGTTTTACTAAAACGTAACAATAGCTACATTATGATAAACAAATTAAAAAAAACACACACAAACCTAAATAATTATATTTTTAATAAATAAAATATTATCATAATGGAAAAAGATAAAACAACCGGTTGACAACTAATTGAATTTAAAAAATAAACGATATGACTTTATATTTTTGGGTATCATACACTCTCTTCTTCCTAAGCTTTATGTTTATCCTATAAAACAAGTATATAGCAAAATGTCTGAAGATAAACTTGATCAAGCAATAATAGTTATTTCTTAAAAACTTCTTATTAATTCCATTTAAGCGAAAACATATATTTATATTTTACCTTAAATCTGTCAAATGAAGAGGAACCAGACGTGCGATAATGTATTATGTGTCATAATCTCACATTAATAATATTTATTCTAGATCATATTGATTGAACAAGCTATCTATTGAGGTCCTAAGTCGTACTCTAAAAAAAATCTCAGACTTAGAGTCATTGTAGAGGATTATAAATCAAAATTTTCAAAATAACTTAAGTATGATTGTTGACGATCTTTGACTTCATACTCTAGGTTGATACATGAGATACCTTGAAAAATGACATGTGTAAAGGTTAGAGAAATTTTCATTGAGGATGTATGATAAACATCACATTTCATCAACCATTGACCTAGGCATTGATCAAATAAGGGATGGAAATTTTCGTTTAATAGTTGGATATCTTGGTTGACAAATCAAGGATTGGTGCAATAAATAAATATCAGTGTGCTAGTTGAGATATCTAAATAAAAAGCATTTATAGTTACAAGAGTCGAAACCGAGGTATAGGGTTAAAAGTGAAATTTTTTATTAAAAATGAGTTCAGTAAGACAATGGTAAGAATTCTTTTGGTTATGTTGTTGTGTGTCTGTGACTTCATACAAATATTTTGGAATAACAAAAAGATTTATGTTATCAAAGTTTCAAAATCGAAATATTTTAGTTTCTAATAGACTAACAATAAGCAATATAATTTGTATTTACCTTTAGTTATCCTAGCCACAAAATTTCGTTTTTGTATTACTATCAACTAGCCAAGTTCAAATGTATTAATTAGGGTGAAAAATTTATATAAAATTTTTATATATATACTTAGATATTAACAATAAATGTGTCTACACTACATCCAAAAATTCAAATGCATGTGAAATGTCACAATGTTTGTATGAATTCAAAGAAAAAACAATGTTTGTATGAATTTTTATTTTTATAAAAAGTTCAAAATTTATAAATTAATTTTTCAAGCGTGACATTGTTTAAAATGCACCTAAATCTGTGTGTTTTGTACATACTTTATGAATTATTAATATAAGTAGTTTAATTTTTGTTCCAAAACAAACACAAAAGACAAATAATTTTTTCAAAAAGTTCCAAAATTATACACTAAAGGACCATGTTAAGACGAGAACCTTTAATTGTGTATGTGAGTATCTTGAATTGAGATTTTTAAACTAACATCTACGTAACAACCATGGATTGAGGGTTAATACAAACTTCAAGAATTAGCAATTGATGTATATTGTGTGCATTCTGTGAGTCCTTTTCTTTTCAAAAATCTAATCAATGATGATGAAAGCCCTAAACCAATTTCCCTCGACTGATGACGATTTTTCATAACCTCACAACCCACAACAACCACATTTTCACCAGAACCATCACCACATGGGCACATACAAACCTTGATCACCAGCATACGCCTTCCTCCCCTTCAAACACATAAACCACCAATTAAACCAACACATGACCTTCACCACTCAAACCACCTCCAAAAACTCATCTTGTCCTTAGAAGATCAAACCATTCATCCGAGCCACCATCACACCCTACCAAAAATATTACAGCTGTTATTTGAAATGGGTTACGATGCCAACTTTTAAAAGGGTTTCGCAGTGACAATTTACTTCTTCATCCTTCATTCTCTTATTTTGAATTTACAATCATTATTGCTCTGTGATAGTTTTGGAACAAAAATAACACCCACATATGAATTTGCATATCTCTCTCCCTAAACCCTAAAGAATCATATTGCTTTCTCTTTCTATTGGTGCATCACTCAAATCTCAACCCTTTAAGTTTCCCACCCGCCGCTGGATGTTGGTCACTATTGTTGCCTGTCAGTATCTCTAATCGTCATCGTCACATTAAAACTGGTTCAGTAGCCAGTCAATGCAAGGACGATGATCCTTAACAACTGCATCATCCATTGAACCAACTGCTCTGACTTTCATTGGCGAAGTAAAGCCGGTGTGACCGAGTTCCCTTATTCTTATGCTTCTTCCACAACCCCTATGTCGTCTTCAATGCAGTCAGAAGTGCGATTCTACCTAGAAGCGGAAAAGGGGTAAAATCATAAAGCGTAGAAACAAAGTGTAAAAAGGTAAGTTTTTTATGCATCATGTAAAATAGTTAAAAATATGTTAAGACATGTGCTATCTAAAATGTGAGTGTATAGATTTTCGATAAGTAAATAAATACATGCAATTTAGGTTAATGTAAAATGTGAGTGTATCATTCGAAAATCAAATAGTACAGTAGCATCCAAGGCTTCTGAGAAATTTAATCTTAGAGCCCAAAACAACAATGAGATAATTCATATAAGGAACGATGGACAATGAGTTTTGGAGTCGAAATCAAATACAAGTATAGAGAACCCAATCATCTTTGTTCAGCCCGCCCAGCAAACAATTGGAAACTTAGGGTTTAAGAAGCTTTGTCGATGTTACGATTCGACTTGGTGCATATAACGACCCAACATCCCTTCACCATCGCGGCTTCAAAAATGCCCTCGCCAATCGATCTCATCCTTTGTCGGACCCCATGAGTCATTGCAAGAGACTTCTTTGATCTGTTCCTTTTGGTCAAGCGTAACCTTCCCTATTCTCACCACCAGTCTGTCGCCCCGATTTCTTGATTCATCGTCGGAGTTCATGGAGAAATTCCTCGTAGATGTAGAGACGGTGGAGAGCAAGAGACAAGCGGAGACACCTCCACGGGGAGAGAATTGAACAGTTTTGAACTGGGGACGGTGGAGTGGTGCAGAGAGCCGGTGACGGTAGAGTGGTGGAGAGCACTGGGGAGTGGTGATGGTAGAGGCACCGCATAGGGATTTGGAGTTGCGGTTGTTTCCATTTCGTATTAGGGATTCAGATACTCGAGCGCCTTTCAAAATTTATGTCCATTTATTTTTTAATATATAAATTTTATAACAGTAGACGACGTCACTTTGGTGCAAATGTTACTTTTCTGGATAGTGCATGGAATCGCATAGAAACGCTATAAAAACAAGTTTTTGTATGATTTTACCGTTTTTACATAAGATTTTAACGATTTTGTGAGCAAAACGATTTTAGGTGGAATCTGAATCGTTTTAGTGACCTAGATACGTAAAAACGTAAGTTTTTACGATTTAAAGCGCGATTTTGGCTGCACTGGTCGTCTTACTTCATCTCCAATCCAATTAGTCCTCGTACTTGCAATTCAGCTACATTCGCCATCATAGATTATGCATTGGGCGATAGAGAGGGATGAGGTGGTCGTACCGCTTATAAGACCACGATATACACCACCATGGAGATCCGCCCTAAAAGCTTTCTCCGAGAAGCCTCAGCTTTAAGCTCTTCCCCCAATGCCTATAGCTACTGGGTATGTGTTGAGTGACAAGATTCATTTAATCGGATGCTCCTCAGCCTCTTTCGTCGCTTTCCCAAACTCATATTTGGCGAGTGCTCTCCCTTTGTGCAACTCCCTCCCTCTGTCTTTCTCCTGAACGAATATGTTTTTCAAAGTTTGTGAGTTTGTGAGCTCCAATGGTTGGTATATCTTCTTGGTGACTTTCAGGTACCTCATCCACAACCCACTATTTTAATTTGTACGGTGACAATCAAAATGAAATATACATTGATGAAAATCCTACAATCTATGAGTGAAGAAGCACATTGAGCTCGACTGCCACCTTATGGGTAAGAAATTGTATGCCAAATCATCAAGCTTATTTATGTTGTCTTCTCATAAGCTAGTTGACATCTTCACCAAAGCCGTATCCATTGTTCCATTTTGTTATCTCTTCTTCAAGCTTTGTTTGCATAATATATGCCCACCAGCTTGCGCGGGGTGACAGGGCAGGGAGAATGAAACTTAAGGTTTCACCGTCAACTGTTGGGATTGAAATAGGGCTGCAAATGAGTCGAGCTGTTCGCGAGCGGCTCGACATTCGACTCGAGAAAAGCTCGTTTGAAACTCGGCTCGTTAATAAACGAGCCGAACGTGAGCTAAGTTTTGTTCAGCTCGTGAAGCTCGCGAACTAGCTCGACTCGGTGGCTTGTTGAACTAAACTCGTGAGCTGGCTCGTTTAGAGCTCATTAT